TATATATATATATATATATATATATATATATATATATATATATATATATATAATAAATTCTAGAAAATAAAATTTCATTTAGAAGCTTTATATATCAACAACTGTATTAATTGTTATGCAATGTATTTTTATTTCAGTTAAATCGTAGGACTTATATTTAATATGTATTACAGATATGCAAAAGTTTCCTTTGCGGATGAAGGATAACGATCTACTCGTAACTGAATTATATCGTGATCCAAGTTGCGATCCCATAACTGCGATATCTGTATATTTGACGCCGAAAACAAGTAAGCTCTCTTTTATTCCTATTCTTGTTTTAAAATAAAAATCTCGGTAGAAAAACAATGCACGGAAATCCGAGATATAATATTCTCAGTTAAAGTTACCCCTTATCCACAACTTTGCTTTAATCTTTAAGCCGTAAGATATTGACCAACCACAGTTGATTATTTTTAAAATAATCAACTGTAGTTGGTCAATTTTTTACAGTTTAAAGATTAAAGCAAGGTTGTGGACAAGGGGTTACTTCTACTAGTAGCTACTTTTACTATTAGTCAAAAACGATTCCAAGTGGAATATTTGGCTCACTATTGAGGATTCTTATTGCAAAAGTACCTTTTAGCAGGAATAAAATTTCGCGAAAATTACGCAAGAATTTTATAGTCTCACGCAAAATTGTTACCACAACCGCACGCTGATATAAGAATATATATTAGCAATGGAGATATAAAGTTTAAATATAATCACTAGTAACTAGCGTTATTAACAATTTATTTATTAAAATATTATGTTGTAAAGTTGGAGAAAGTGAAAGGTGACTCTTAAAGATATTAATGAAAATTTATCATTACATTCTTTGCTTCATGATTTCGTACAACTGGATCGATAGCACAAGGCAAGTATGGGTCGATATAAACAGACGTTTTGCCTTCTCACATTCAACTCATATAATTCAAGGCGTCAATCTCCATCCATCTTGTGTGTTGACTAGCATTAAATGTCGCGAATCGCATAATTAAATATCAAACACTCCCTTCCTCTCCGAATGTTATTAAGTTATACTATATAAATGCACCTAATCATAATGTTCCTTTCCTTCATACTAGCAGCACAGATCACTCAAACGTGTTTATCACACAAAGCATCTTTTTGTTAGTCTGTATATAGGATGCAAATTCACATAAGACACGGACAACGATTGCACGACTCACACATAACTTTGCTATCCTTATGTGCATCCAGTTGTACCATCGCAATTTCTTTTTTCTTCGCGTCTTATTTCATTTAGTTAATTCGAATTAATTGTTAAATTTGCTTGCTTTTCCTATTTACTCTAATATATTCCATGCTAGCGTCTGAGAAGGGGAGGGGAGGTAATAGAAAATATACATATTTGCTTGCGCATTACTTTTTGTCGGTAGTCTATAGGTAAAATTTTAAATATAATGCTTTTTTCTCTGGACAAAATATATTTTAAATTGATTTTTAGTTATGATAAATATTACAATATCTTTACACATACGCGTATACACACATAGTTGTTTGAGACATAACTATTATTACTTGTGGTTGTCATTGTGTTCTATTTTATAAATCAATATATATTTGCTGCATGTAATATCATGGGCTTTACATTGTAATTTCACATATCAATTATTACTTTGTATTAACGAACACATTTTTACCGTTTAAATACATTATTTCATATCATGCCTATATTTTCAAGGTATTTCATCTATCATCTATTGTAGTTATTGTAGTATTGAGAATTAATCCTCTGATACACTATCCAATTTTTACGTCTATACATAATACAGTATGAAGTACAATGAATCTACATGTTATTTCGGCAAACACAAGTCTCTATTTCGACGAGATCTCAGTAAATCAATATCGCTAAAACAATGCACGTGACAAGAGAAATATAATGTTTAGATTTATTTTGAATTTCAAAGTGCATCAGGTGGTTAATGCAAGAATGGAAGAAAGTGTTCTGAAATGTTAACACCTCCAACACAGGTCTTTGTGGGAACTGGATAGAAATTGCATACGGCACGAAGTCTGGCAGTGTCAGAGTAATCGTGCAGCATCCGGAAACCGTAGGTCACGGTCCGCAGTTATTTCAAACATTCACAGTGCATCAAAGCAGTGTAACTAAGGTAACATTGAACGTCGATTTTTATCTGATAAATACTTTAATTAGTATTAGATTGGTGCAAAGAATTTATCGTAGCTAAATTTATCGTAGTTAAATAAAATCAAAAGCAAAATATTATTCAGCTCCGATGTATTAGTAATTTTTTATATGAATGAAAAAAGCTACAAATCAGTAACTTTTTACAAAAGCTAAAGTTGAATAGAGAAATAACAGGTCTTTTGCACCAACTATAATACTATAAATTTAACTTGTGAACAGTACTCGAAGTAAAAAGTTTTTGCCGTCCAGTTAGCTACACGCGTGAGATATGTTGCAGGTGACACTTTCGGAAAAATACCTGGTATCAGTCTGCTCGGAATATAATCATGTGCGGAGTTGGGCGGTGACCAGATTTCGCGGAATGATCTCAACTCAACCAGGGTCAATGCCTGAGGCAAGCTTCAAAATCGTTTCCTTGGAAGCAATCGATCCTTGCGTCAGCTACAATGCCGGCAACGATTTCGGTACGTCGTAATATTATACGTCTTTAAATTGTCTCATTGTCTTTAAACTACTACTTATACGATCTACTATTACATCATTGCAAAAAGTTACATGAATTTCATTATTACTCGTTATTCATTACTCCTTACTCGTTAATATGTTTGACTTACATTAATTTAATATTCTATCACATATACAGGTCCGTTTGGTGAGCAAGACGACGAGCAAGTATTTGTTCAGAAAGTTGTGCCCGAAACTGATCAATTGTTTGTTCGATTGGCGTCAAATGGAAAAAGAGTTTGTGTAATTCAGTCAGTGGACGGCAGCATAATAAGCTCTTTCTACGTGCACGAATGTGAAGGCATGGGCTCAAGGCCCAGGCGTTTCATATTTACTGGCCATTCTAACGGCACTATACAAATGTGGGATCTCACAACGGCATTGGATCCGTCTTTCAATGCCATTCAAGGTGTGCGTTACTCTCACTACGGAATGACTTAACGAAATTCATAAGCATTCGTCTTAAGATGTAAAACTATCTAAGAAGAATTTTCTTTTATATTCGACCGACTAAAATGACCCATTTGATAATATACACGTAAATATATAAATCATAGAATATGTTATTTTTATAAATGCATGCTTTTTAACAACAGATTTCTCTGGTGGACCTACGCCAGAAGAGCTTTGGAAACTGTTGGATCAATGCGACCTCAGCAACAGTCATTGCTCAACACCTTGCATCAGTCCCTCCCCTTCGTTGATTGCGACCGGACCTAGGATTAAGACGAGTAATGTCTTGTTCCTTAATCAGTCACAGAATCCGGACGTAATGCCTGGACCGAGTCAAACGTAAGGACGTATTTAATTGAGGTATCTGGCACGAACGGAAACTGAATATATCTGGCGGTTTATAACCGCGGATATAGAGATATGCGCTAACACATAAACAGAATCTGCATTTATCTAGTTATTATTTATTTATTTATTGACAAACCAAACACGCTATAAACCGTCGAAAACAAGTCTGTATAATTATAGTTCCTAAATCAATATCTTTGCATTCATGCGCATAAAAGAGACTATTCTGCTCTACAAACTCTATACATGAGGTTTGTTATTTATCTATTTAAGTAGTGCAATCTGAAAATAATATGACAAAGAGCATGACTGTGCGTTATATAAGCTTTACAGCTGTATATTTAATTATAAACTCATTATATTAGTTATATATTCATGTTGATAATATTACTTTAGCGTAAGCGGATTTTATGCAAATGAATGTCTATAAGGTTTATTTTAAGAGAGTTTGGTAATATGGCTAAAATGTTCTCGAGAAAATCGTGTTTGCATTTGTTGTTATTAATATAATTAAATTTTTTATAAACTCTAACAAAAGTCGTAAAATTTTAAACATATATGCATATGCTCTTTTATTATTTATATCGTTATTCCTATCAGAGCAGTTATCAAATTCTCTTAAGAAAGTTCGATTTTACGATATTCATTGTTTCAATATAAACTTTTATACATTGTCGTACATAAGCTCGTTTAATGAAAAATAAGTATAAGATCGTCTAGGTAGAGGGGTATATATTCAGTAAAATCTCATTGACTGATAGATAATACGAGAGTTAAAAATGTATGTGTTTTGTTTAGAATTATATATTCTGTATTAATGTTATACAAAAAACGAAGATAATCGTACAAAGAAACGCGCCATTTTCTCGCGATGTATTGAAACAAAATTAACAAGTCCTAAAGTAAAGGAAGCTATCGATATAAGTCGGTGTGAACATTGTTATATTAATTTACGCATAGCATGCGACCTGCATTTTTACCTCAACTGTAAAACACTTAATAATATGTCAACACTGTATCACTATCAACACTTCATATCCCTGAATATATAATTTCAAAAGTTGATTTCAGCACGATCGCATCTCTTGAGTAACAAATGTATGGTATACATTATGTATGCAATCAAAAGATATTTCAAAGTTGAATTGCACTCGAATACATATATGCGCTATATTCGGTTACTGCGGCTCTCGAATATCCCATATGCACGTACGAAAATACTTACGTACTTTTGTTATAGTTTCACTGCATATATAATGCATACGCGTTCATCAATACATGTATACATGTACATATATAAAAAACTGTATTATTTAGTATCGTAATATTGTTAAACAACTTACTTCTGTGATTTAAATAAACCATTGGTATACATGTAGCAGCAGTTTCGCTCACGTTTGAATGTCACGTTAACTGCCGTCTCGCATACATAAATATCGTAAATACACTGTACACACAGATCATTATAAAAGTAGACGATTAGAAAGATCGATTTAGAAACTTTCTTAATACGTTACATTAATTATATCTCTATGATAATTTATATTACAGTTCTCGTTTTACAAAAAATCCTTGTGAAAGGATAATATCGATAACATTTAACCGACGCCTCAAAATTGTGAAATAATGCAACATACGAATATGTAGCGATTCGTAAACGATAATTTATATGAGTCTCCGCACTTTGGCTTTGAGAACAAGTTCGCTTTGTCCCAATAGTTATTGACACTCGCAATTACCACTATAAAAGTCTAATTAAATATCAGGCACTACGGTGATACAATTCATAACAATGTTAATTGTACGATCAGTTAAGATTAGACTATCTATCTATATCGATCTATTTCTCGGCTTAGAAAATTAATCAGTACGAAATCATGTTAATCCCGCAATGATGCGCGAGAAACTCCTTGACATACAAGTATTGTACTATTAAGATTCAACGTTAAAATGTCACACAACAATGTAAACTGTTAAGTCGATGGAGCGGTTACGGTAAATCCTGCATAAAAACATTTAATCACTTGTTATAAGTTAGACGTATCTCATATAAAATGTTTATGCCAGAACAAATTATTGTGGAACAATGACGGATGAGTCAATGGCGTCAACAAAAAGCACCAAGCGACTAAACCGATTACAAACAGACACAGCAGTCCGGCTCTTTTCAGTGGATCCTTGTACGCTGCTACTTCAGAGAGGTCAGGAAATCCCATGTGATTGCAGAAAGAATGCACGGCGAACGGTGCAATGAAATGACCTGAGGGAAGATACGAACTTAAGGAAAGGTTTAACGACTAATCGAGAGCACACTAAAGGGAACTCACCTGTTTTGGCAAAGAGGAAGGCTGCGTACGCTCCGAATAATGTCGTGTACGCGGACTGGAAACCTGAAATTGACGCACAAATCCCGTAAGAAATTCCTCGTCTTCTCGTCCCAATTCCGGGATTCGCTATAATACGAGATTTTTACTCACAGGATATAAACAGTGCGTGCTTGATCCCCATTCCCATCTTTATTCTCTCCACTACATGATGGAAATGAGCTACCCCGAAGAACAAGGGGCACACGAATATGGCAGTAGTCGGTGCGAAGCATTGCAAGAGCAATGGCAACATGCAAGCCCTGAAAGTCCACTCCTCAGACAATGGAGCAACTACCTGATTCCTCCACCAGATCAGCGTTCTCACGCTTCCCAACCAATATATAGGTTCTAGAGAAAGATTCGCAACAACATGATATTTGCTTCATTTCAGATGCGTTTCATAGTGTGGTTTCAAGGAGAGCATGTTATTGGATTCTAAAATTCAATTTAGAATGCTGACCAGTGTACAATCGCCACAATCCATTGAATCCCTGCAGACTCAGAGGACCTAGGAACAGGATCATCGTTAGAAGCAACGGTATCACAGTCGCCTGTATCAAGCCTGACCATCGTAGACCCAGCAACTCCCAAATGGTTGCCTGAAATATAAAACCATGACGAAATCGCTGATGGTTTACGCAAAATGCCTTTAAATTATTTACATTAATGAAAAGGACTACCTTCTGAAATACATTCTCGTTCATACCAAAGTACAAAGGTACTGGAGAAATGAGAGTCATGATAAACACACTAAAAAATCGTTTCTTTATCGTTGATGGGTGTTCCCTGAAATAGAAATAATTGAGAATAAAGCTTGATATCAGTTTTACATAACAATATTACTGTTGATCAGTAAACAGTATGTTGTGATTACTTGTTTACTGTATTAATTATATGACATTTCAAATTAATCGATTTAATTGTTTATACTATCAGCAGATTCAATCGTGATTGCTTTGTTATTTCAGGTTGCATGCCAATAAGAAACTTGGTTTATAACTTTTTTTTAACTACATTCATCCATCCATACCTTTTGTGATTGCTTTGTTAATTGTTATAATAATCAGTGTAGCTATTGCGCGTCGAATTTATGATTTATTTACGAAAGAATTTGCTCGAATATTGCGGGCAAAGAGAGATATTGAGCGAGTTTTTTAATTCATCGATGAATCCATCGATGAATTAAAAAACTCGACCATTGTTGCGTTCAATTTAAAAGTCCCGCCATATTCAAATTATAGCGTCAAACATTATCATATCGGATTCAAGTGTTTCGCTATATATTCTATAAATTTATTCTTCTTCACACTTTCGCATACTTATTCTCTGTATTCAAAATAAAATATGTAAAATCTATAAGAAAAACGGAAAGAAAGATTGAAGTTATAAGAAACTAATACTTGGAAACGTGGCTAAAGAGAATCGGGGAACGAATCTTTTCTTCAAACGTGTACTCGTGGAAAATGAAGATACTTTCAAATGTTTTCAACTTAAAAAATTTTCACTTTTTACGTGAGTTCATACAGGAGGAAAAGATGCATTATTGACCCCTTGCTATTGTTCCCTCCTAAGAACCCTAGTGCAGAAAGTGCAAGTACGAATAGACAAATTCCAACTGCATACAATCACTAGAATTCTCTTTTCACTAGGAACTTGAAGCGGCGCCGTCGGCGCGGTCGCTGGCGCCACCTATCCCGAGTACGATTGTGACAGCAAGCGCTGCGACGCACAGCGCGTGGAACAGTCACTTGTATCCGTCCGGTTGGTGTGAAGTACTACACAGTTATAACTCGCGACTTGTCGAGAGAGTGAGCGCCGCGCCTACGAGAGAAAAGAGACACTGACGTTGCGGGACAAGGAGCGGCCGCGAAATCGGAAGAGAATCGAACGAGTGCAAGAACGGGAGATCTCGAGAAACATCGCCGTCATCGTCGTCGTCGTCTTTGTGGTTATTGTTGCGTCGTCGCCGCTGTCGCCGCCACACCACCGTCGCTGATCGCGGCGGACGTTACACGTACCTGTTGTGCGGCGAACTCCAGACATACAGGCTCGCCACGTACACGATTGAGAGTGCGAGGCACGAGAGGACGGCGGAGATGCAGGGCGAATCGGTATTTCGCTCCGCGGCCTCCATAGCTCCATAGCCGATGTCGGTCGCTTGTGTCGCGCTCCACTGCGGAAGGGGGGCTCGGTAATAAGCCCCGTGGCGGCAGCGGCGGCGGTGGCGGCTGCCGCGGTAGAAGAGGAGGAGGAGGAGAGCAGGAGCAGGATAAGGAAGGGGTTGGGGAGGGAAACGCCGTGAAGCGGCAGCGGGTGGTAGAGGGGCGACGAGTGAACGGTGGGTCGTACGGGTCGAATGGGGGGCAAGAAGGGTATTTCGCGCACAGCACGCACTCACGGGGCAGATACTCGTCCGATTGGCGGCTGCCCTCTGGGCCACCAGTCGGCAAGCAGAGTCCTACTCGTCGACCGTGAGCAAGATGGCCGCCATGCACGGTGGTAGTGTCGCTATTGTGTAGTGTGTTTTAAGCTTTTGGCAGCTTCTGTGTGCGCGGCCCTACGTCGCGGCGGCTGCCCTACTGCCGCGCGCGGGGCGGGGGGGTACCGCCGGTCCTCGCGCACCCTCGCAGTCGAGGGAATACGCGAAGCCGCCGATCAAGTGCTGCGGAGCTGCGAGAGGAACAGGCGGCGGAGGAGGAAGAGGAGGAAGAGAAGGAGGCGGAGGACGACAACGGCAACAGACACGGAGACGAGGACGTCCGCCGAGCGCCGCCGACAGAAAGATGCCGAGCGCGTCGTTCACGTCGTCGCGCAGCTACGTGCGGAGATCACGGCGGAAAGGCGCAAACAGGATTCCTCTGCCGTCGAGAACCACTTCGGGTAAGCGTGCGAATGAGTGCGACGAAGAGCGAGTGAGTGAGTAAGTGAGTGAGTGAGTGAGTGAACGAGCGAGCGAGCGAGCGAGTAAGCGGGCGAACGAAGAAGGACAGACCGAGACTACGAGAGAGAAAGAGAACGAGCGAGTGCGAGAGAGGATATGTAAGCCTAAGTGAGACAGGGAAAGAGAGAGGGCGCAAGAGAAAGAAGACAATAGGAGAGACAGAATCGCCGCATCCAATGTCCAGGAGTTCATAAATCGCCCATATTCCACATCGCCGATGCCTCTCTATCGAGAGCACAACGGTACGACAGCATGCCGAAAGCGTCGCAGAGGAGCGTACACCCCGCCATCTCCGTCGAGCCTTTGTCTCCGTGCACAATTTTAACGTACACGCGCAAGCTTCCTGGCTTATATTCCTCACCGCACGTTTCGTTTGGTCTCACCTCGTCTTCGAGGGTCACCTCAGCGAGGGGCGTCTGTCGCGCAAGAATTTCTCCCGGAGCCGAGGTGCCGCTGCAGTTCGCGGAAACGATGACGCGGTATGCACGAAGGCATACCAGCCTTCCGAAGTTTCGTTCTCTTGTCGTCCTCGGGATCGTGGCGCGTAATAGAGAGAGTGCGGAGGCGAGGTGTTGTGCATGGCGATCGACCGCGAGCATCGCGAGATTGACGTTTTAGGCGTGTGTAATCGAGCGACCGTACGTTCCGCGGCAATCGAGGTTAATATTCTTACCTAAGCGCGTAAGTGTAAGCGGCTGTAGACTCTTTAGAATCGCATCCTTTTACACTCTGTTCTATGACCACATCTCATTCTCTTCCTCTTTGAAGCGATTCTACATGTTTTTGCCTCGCTTCAGGTCGGGAAAGGTGTTAAATGGGACAGCCTTGTGTTTTATTGAGTGCATGTTGAAACAACTGGGTAATGGTATGTTCAGGAAAGACCAAGCTTGAAGCTTAGCTTAGGTGTGATCTGACAAATATATCTACAACTAATTGAGAATAGAACTGTTACTTTGATGTGACTGTGTATAAAATTGTAGTATAGACAAGTACTAGCATTCTGAGAAAGTTGTAGCCACATCTGTATGATGGAGGAAAGATTGTTCTGTACATTTACGTTTCTGTTCTACGGTTGATCAAAGTATGGATGCATGAGTTTTGGCTGTCACTTTTCAATACTTTTTCAGCATCATAATTGAAGTTGCATGGCACTAAATGTATATTCTGTGATAACTTTCAGTGGAAAAGCTGTCAAATTGTGGTAGACGACCTAACCATACTAGCTGTAGCGACAAAGAGAATTGAATCAATCATGCACTGATGAGTTGTACGCTTTGATATTATTGATGAAGTCCTTATCGCGCCAATGAACATGATTCTTGCTTAATTAATTCTTCTCGATTATGCATTTCCAGATCGTAGCCCTATCCGCAATATAGATAAACAAAGAAAGCAGTTTAATCATGGCTGTTCACGTGCCGGCACTGATTCACAGCGTCGAGGCGATAACACAAATCTATGTAACACCCCGGAGTTCATGAGCGATCGTAAATTTCAGACTAGGCGAACACCATAAGGCAACGCGCAAATATACAAAGCGATCGGTAAAAGTAAGGGTAACATTTTCTAACGGGGACGCAAATAGAAAACGATCCCGTGTTATAATCGTGCATCGCTACGTGCGGACAGTAGCTCAGAGCTATAATGTAATAAGGGTTGAACGACCCTCGCGTTAGCACTATTCACGGAATACGATCCTTATTGTAATACAATATCGCGATAGGATGAGGACTCGCTTCGCTCGGGGAACGTTCGCTTTTGTATCTCTTGTATGCCATACGTCGTTGTGGGTTGATTGTATCGATCGCGATCTCCACTTCGCGATCAATCCCTCGGAATGTGGGTTCCAAAGAACCCCGTCCCCGCCCTCCTACACTGTCTTCTTTTCCCTTTTTCTCTTTCTCCTTCCCCCTCCTTCCCTCCTTCTCTCTCTTTCTCCATCTTTCTTAATCCCGAATCACCAACGATCCAGCTGGAACGCAGTACAACTTGCCAAGTATACGTCGATCGGAGCCCGAATTTTCCAGCGCACCGAGAAAGAGAGAGATGGAGAGCGACTATAAAGGAGAGAGGGGGAGAGAGAGAGGGACTGGAGGGGATAAGAGGAAAGACGAAGAGAAGGCGATAAAAAGAAAGAGGAAATGAGAGAGTAAGAGGATGATGAACGGAGAAGCGAATAAAGTATCTTCAAGATTATCGAAATTAACATTCGTGTCTTACGTCTTTGGAATAATTTCACTCTCGCTATCTCGTCCGTGCTCGACGATTGTATTAACTGGTATGCTTGCGATTCTCAGAAGAAATGCGAGATACGCTACTTTGTAGAAATTATTGAGAGTCAATTAGCTCGTACTCGTCCGAGCGGCGAGTTCAAAGAGTGTTCCAAGTATGGATGTCCTTAAGAGCGACATTAGATAAGAGTAGAAATTACATCACTCGATAAAACTATATGGTACGTTCTTGACTCTTCAACGAGTGCTGGTGAGAAAAATTTCGAATTCAAGATTACTCTCGAATTTCTTAAGTCATATGCAGGAATTATACATAAAAAAAGTAGAATATTTAAAGGAACTTTCTTACAGGGCCAAAGAGGAGGAGGAGGAGGAGGAGAAAGAGAGGTAGGACAGGCTGACGTCTGTTACGCGATATATCGACACTGCCGCCAATAGTGCGTTTTGTGTGTGATGAATTAGTGTCTGCTCCACTTTCGCGAGAGGACTTTGGTGTGACCCGAAAACGTAATCGAGAGTATCCTCGCGGCCCGGAATCTGTGTATCCCGTAAATCTCACGGACGCGCGCCAGTGTTGACCGGCTAGAAAGTGAAACGTCAAGACGCGCTGTTTACGACGCCACGGAACGCACCGCGTGACGATTCCGCTTGTATCATTGTGCACGATAATTCGGACGGTAGTGAATGGAAGGCCCGAACGACATACGACGTGTTAGCCGTGTATCTCCCTATAGCGACTTGTACTTTAGCACGCGATGCAAATTTCCATTTTCTGCGATAACTGCAAATTGCCGAGCGAGATTATAGTTAATAGAGTGAAATGGAACGTACCTAATATCCTAATGTTCAGTCCTGTTTCGCAGCTACGCTGTGCCGAAGTGTCGTTGCGGAAGAACATGCACACACAAGCGCAATCGATATCGAAATTTATTACCGTTATTATTGTTATTATTATTATTATTATTATTATTACGAAATTATTCATTATAATTTAATTACGTTGTACATTCAACTGTAATTGGGTTTACATAATGTCAACAATTATATTACGACACACGGTCGCAATGTTGTTACCTTGTTAATAGATTTCTCATTTGACATGTGGACTAACAGCGTTACACGTTTCGCACACATAATACACCGCTACTTCGAAGTTCGTAAAACAACGGCGAAACATCGACGTGCAAATTACGACGTTGCAAATTTTTCTAACGACTTCGTACTTACCGCATTATGTTATTTATTTGCACGACGACAGAGAGATATATCGAGGAGACCACGTGTACGTATGTTGTTTATGAACTGCCGTGATCAAGAGCGTATCTTTAGTTTTAATTTATCTTTTGTATCATGTTTATCCCTTATTTTTCATCTACGTGTACGCTAATGATCTTCCTTTCCTCTGACGTTAGGGTCGATCTCTTTCGAGACAATACGCACAGCGAATCATCGTGGCTATTTTTTGTTTTCTTGATTTTCTAATTGTCGTTGTTGTATTTTTTACTAGCCGAGCCATGCGACCTGCCGTGTCCATCGCCAAACCCACAGATGCTACCTGGGGGTGGAGTTGGCAGTGGCGGGGGTGCAGGAGGCGGAGGAAATGGCGGAAGAGGCTCGTCTCCTAGTGTATCCGGTGTGGCTGCACCCTCACCTTCCCCGTCTCATTCGCATTCATCGCCTTACGATTTGAGACGCAAGAGTCCACCTCATCCGGACCCAGCGCCCGGCACCAGTTCTGCATTACCACCGTCGGGTGGTAGCAGTATCGTCGCAACCCTCGGTTGCTCGTCTCTACCAGCGAGAAAACGGCCGAGACGAACATGCTCGCTATCCACGGAAGGTGCGTCCTAAAGTGATTATTAAGAACCGACGAGTCGACTTGAAGGATGAAAGATTAATGCAACCACGAATGCATTGTCGACACCGGTGTCGTCATTGTAAATCCACTCGAGTGGCACTTTTATTGAGCAATCGGGGTGACTTTCACCGAACTCCGATTAAACTGATCGATGATCAGTCGGCAGAATTGCCAATCGTGATTTCTACCTATTTCTAGCTAATTTGTCGCTAAACAATAATCAACAAATTATTAATAATTCTACATAAGCAGAATACACTAATTAATTCTTGTTAATACTAGTTAAACTATTGATAATAATCCAATTAATATTTGTGTGACCAATATAGCAATCCAAATGTAAATTATAAAGAGAATTTTTCCTTATACTTGTTTTAATAATAAACTGTTTTATTTTCCAAATTAACAGCTCTGAGATAATTGTCGTTTAATTTAATCAGAAACTTGTCCTTAGTATCAGGATGTATTACACATAAAAATATAATAGCGTCAAATATGTGAACCTCCCACTTGTCGAATGACACATGCTCGACTTCACATCGCAATTGCACTCTAATGTCAATTCTTTTCCGGGACAGGTATAAATACAAATACAGCGGCGCACTATCTTCAGTATGAGCTACCGGACGAAGTGTTGCTCACGATATTCAATTATCTCATGGAGCAGGACCTGTGCAGAGTATCGCAGGTCTGCAAGCGTTTCCAGACGATTGCGAACGACACGGAGCTTTGGAAGTCACTCTACCAGCAGGTGTACGAGTACGACCTGCCGTTGTTCAATCCCGCGCCGTGTAAATTTGAGTTCGTGTCGCCGGACGAGTCCGACTATCCTAATCCGTGGAAGGAGAGCTTTAGGCAGCTGTACAGGGGCGTTCACGTTAGGCCCGGCTTCCAGGATTTGAAGTTCAAGGGACGCAATCTCCCACACTTCAATACGATTCAGGCTGCCTTGGACTACGTCGACGAATATAGAAATAACAGTGGTGCTTCGGCAAGCGGCACTAACACAACCGCCGGCGGACAAGGTTGCTGCAGTAGCAGTGGCAACAGCAACAATAATTCGCAGGCAATCGAGGAGGGGCCTCAGCATTTGGTGTTTTTACACGCCGGCACGTATAGAGGCGAATTCCTCGTTATAGACAATGACGTGGCGTTGATAGGCGCCGCGCCCGGTAACGTCGCAGAATCCGTTATATTGGAGCGCGAGAGCGAGTCAACAGTCATGTTCGTGGAGGGCGCGAAACGCGCCTACGCTGGTCACCTCACGTTAAAATTCACCCCCGATGTCACCAGTACTGTGCCGCATCATAAGCATTATTGCTTAGAAGTGGGTGAAAATTGTAGCCCTACCGTCGATCATTGTATCATCAGAAGTTCGAGTGTTGGTAAGTGTTGCGATTTTTCGAGCTTGATTTTTAAACATTTCACTAGAAAAGATTGTAAGAGCTGATAATAGTTGCAATAATAAAGTGGATTTTATGACATTGCGATTACGAGATATGTAAGTGCTAAAAATTGCGAAATTTGACAGATATAATGATAAAAGATAAATAAAAGATATAGAGAGTATTGTCGGTGCCAAACATTTGAATGTAGCGGTCTACAAGCTGAGTTACTGAGATTAAGCTTTCAATTTTCAGTCGGTGCGGCGGTATGTGTCTCCGGCGTGGGGGCTAACCCGGTGGTGAAGAACTGCGACATATCGGACTGCGAGAACGTGGGTCTGTATGTGACTGATTATGCTCAAGGCACTTATGAGGACAACGAGATTTCGCGGAACGCGTTGGCCGGCATTTGGGTGAAGAATTACGCGAACCCGATAATGCGGCGGAATCACATTCACCACGGTCGCGACGTAGGCATATTTACATTTGACAATGGTCTTGGCTATTTCGAAGCCAATGACATACACAACAACCGGATAGCGGGGTTTGAGGTAAAAGCCGGCGCTAATCCGACCGTTGTGCATTGCGAGATACACCACGGTCAGACGGGAGGCATTTACGTCCACGAGAACGGTCTGGGCCAATTCATCGACAACAAAATCCACTCCAATAACTTCGCCGGTGTGTGGATCACCTCGAACTCGAACCCTACCATACGACGGAACGAGATCTACAACGGCCATCAAGGTGGAGTGTACATATTCGGTGAGGGTAGGGGTTTGATTGAGCACAACAACATCTACGGCAATGCTTTGGCTGGCATACAGATTAGAACAAACTCAGACCCCATCGTCAGACACAATAAGATACACCACGGTCAGCACGGCGGTATTTATGTGCACGAGAAGGGCCAAGGCTTGATCGAAGAGAATGAAGTCTACGCGAATACCTTGGCAGGCGTCTGGATAACGACGGGCTCGACGCCGGTATTAAGGAGAAATCGCATTCACAGTGGCAAACAAGTCGGCGTATATTTTTACGACAACGGCCACGGAAAGTTGGAAGACAATGATATTTTCAATCATTTATATTCAGGAGTACAAATAAGGTAATTAAGGCCCATCCCTTATTAATTGACCCGAGGCCGGATTCTATTGTCAGCGCACACCTAGATGAATACGCGGGTTTCTTGTTAATCTAGGACTGGCAGTAACCCGGTAATACGTGGAAACAAGATATGGGGTGGGCAGAATGGCGGTGTTCTTGTGTATAATAGTGGCTTAGGATTACTCGAACAAAATGAGATTTTTGATAACGCGATGGCTGGCGTTTGGATTAAGACGGACAGTAATCCCACTCTGAAGAGGAACAAGATATTCGATGGTCGAGACGGCGGAATTTGTATATTTAACGGTGGCAAAGGTACGGTATTCTTTTTTATAGAATAACGAGACGTATGATTCTCATTGATCAGTAATATATATTACGTAATAAGCAGCGTATAGTACAATATTTTATACACACACACACACACACACACACACACACATATATATATATATATATATATATAAGATTCATCTCTTTTAATTATTTATTTCCTTTTTCTATAATAAATTACCTTCTCAAACCTATCTTATCGTAATTTATTACAAAAGATTTATTTAAAGGATCGAATTAATCGCAGATGACAGTCGAGAATCATCTGTGTCGGCGATTTAACAGATTAAGTTATGAATTTATTACGTGATTTTTTAAACATACTTATTACGTTCCTCTATCTTGGTGTAGGTATCCTAGAGGAGAACGACATATTTCGCAATGCGCAAGCAGGTGTGCTCATTTCGACGCAATCTCATCCTGTGTTGAGGAGGAACCGGATTTTCGACGGACTGGCAGCTGGAGTTGAAATAACCAATAACGCCACCGCTACGCTGGAAAGCAATCAAATATTCAATAATCGATTCGGTGGTTTGTGTTTGGCGAGCGGAGTGCAACCAACGACTAGAGGTAAATATTCCGTCTCCTTCTTCAGTGACATAGCGTTACTTTAGTCAGTGTGTCAGTAGCGTAGAGACAAAAATGTAGAGGAAACTTATATTTCGCGCTTCTCTTTAGACAATAAAATATATGACAACCAAGATGCAGTGGAGAAGGCGGTCGGAAACGGCCAATGTCTGTACAAAATCTCCTCGTATACGTCGTTTCCCATGCACGACTTTTACCGCTGTCAAACGTGCAACACGACGGATCGCAATGCAATATGTGTTAATTGTATAAGAACTTGTCATGCTGGCCACGACGTAGAATTCATCAGACACGATCGGTGAGCAGAGAATCCCTGTTTTTTGAATATCATTTGTTAGTATGCACATTCGTTACGAATTCTTATGTAATTGTAGAATTATACAATTATATGCATTAATATTTTTAGATTCTTTTGCGATTGTGGCGCCGGAACGTTGAGCAATCAGTGTCAGCTGCAGGGTGAGCCTACCCAAGACACGGATACATTATATGATAGCGCAGCGCCCATGGAATCGCACACACTTATGGTCAACTAGGAACTAACCTAATATAATTTAAACAATCAAACAACGTTAGAATTGTAAGTCCACTATATCGCGAGCACGCAGTAACCCATTGCCGAGTTCTTTATTGCGACCATCGATTTGCTTTATACATGTCGAACGCGATTGTTACTTTTTTAAAAAAAATTTGTTGATATTGTTAATATTATTTAATGTTCACTTATCGGGATCTGTCCCTCTTTATCAGCTTTATCATTGTTTAGTGTTAAGCAAAGAGATATTCGCGAATAACCGATAAAGATTTTGATTGTGCATTTGTAGGCGAATTTACATATGTACAATAACAATAAAATGCAAGATGATCTAGTGGAAAAGAGTCGAAGAATTTGGAAGCATATAATACTTCAAGTGTTTAAACAACGTAGGCAACAATCGATTATAGATCTATGCAGTTGTTTTCCGTCGTAAAAATATTGGGGTGACGTGTTAAAAAATGAATATATTGCGAGATATTTCGTTTTATTTTCTGACATTCTGACAAAGTGTATCGCACTCTGGATACATGAAATATCTCGTGTTCATACATTTTTCAATTATCTTATCTCAATATTTTTATACTTAAAACACTTAGTCAAAACTTGTTTTTTTACTGACTTCATAAAAGATATTTTATATAAAAGAAATATATATATATATATATATATATATATATATGTATATATGTGTATATGTATGTATGTATGTATATACATCTCCATGCAAGCAATCTCTGAAAAGATCTGAAAAATCTTTTGATTCAGTGTTGTTTTATAATTTATTACTTATATTTGAGATTCATAGGTGCTTCTTTTAAATTCCCTGACTCTGAAAAAAGATTATCTTGTAAATACTGCAGTTTTTGCTATAAAAGTATGTATATAGTTCACTAATAGCCTATATTCTCTTTCTTCTTTTGTTACTATAAAGAATATTAAAAAAAAACGTACAAATTTATTAATTAATTCAATATACTTACAAATGCATATTCACAATCGTATTTATTATTTGCGAATACATTCTGCAATATCGCCTCGTATTGGCGCTTCACTTTTGTTCTCTTTTCTGTTATTGTCTATTTTCTCTTGTTTAATTCCACTTTTCACGAAAGTGTAGTTTGAAATTTTCTGCTTATAAAAGATCCTTTTCACGATGGCAAAAGATAATTTATGAATAAATTATCGAATAATTTACATATTTATTTGCTGTTTCTTTCGCTATCTCTATGAAGGTATATGCTTTTTTTATAAATAAATTATTCTACTATATCGATTAATTTATGTGCAACTTTATTTTGCGCAATAATACATCGGACATATATATATATATTTTTTTTCTCTATAATTTAAAATTACGAAACGATTGGCTTAATGCTTTTTATGTGTTATAAATTTTATTGTAAATGTTGTTAGCTCTACAATGAGTTCTTGTTAGAGATTATTAGTAAGAAAGAGATTATTTCTTTGACACGCACCAATACAAATAAAGAACTCAGCAATCGAAACGCCAAGAAACGGTAGTAATAAAATAACGAAGACGGCCCTCATATAATTATATGACACGATATAATATTAGGTATATCAAATTAATTTAAATGTGTAAACGACGCAAACGCTAGACTAATCGTAAATCGAACTTTTCACGTGGCTCTTTTTATCGAGGTTCTATCTCAAAATCGAAAATCAGCATATTACGAGGAGAGAGTGTAGTGCTGAACCGTGTAAAAACGAGAAGAACGGAGAAACATGTGTATACGCCATAATAAGGACACTCGACGTGTATCTCGTGACCGAGACACTCTAATGAACTGCTTAAAACTCTAACGAAAGCCGCAGTAAACATAGTTAAAGCGAATATAAGTTCAAGAATAAATAACAGTGTGTCCGGAATGTAAATTGTGTATATCGAACAAGGAGCGGCAAGCATCGTTGACTGTATTACCTACTTATTCGAGCAGAAGCATCAACACCATAAAAAACATAAAGTATATAAATAAAGTTTGCACTCAGCAGTTAATAAGCGGAGACTGATAATTATGCCAGTGTATAAAGAAAGAGAGAGAAATACAAGCAGTGCGTGTTGAAAGTGTCACGCTCGTCCGGAAATATAAAACTGAGTTAAACATTAAACCATTATGAAAAAAAAAAAAACAAGGAACCTATGGGAAGGACCGTAAACCAAAACGCGTCACGGAACGTCACGATCGTTAACGTACTAAAACCAAGTGCAACTTTGGCGATAATTAACTGGTCACAAATCTGTGCGGTACAAATCTCGCGGAGATAAACGAGAGGTGAGGAGAGAAAGAGAAGAATTAAACGAAGCGGGGAAACTTGAAGATCTGTTGTAAGACATACCGAAACAAATGTCTAAAATATGTGATAATATAAAACTCACAGGTGGAATAATCAAAATGAGAATAAACGTCTATAACGCTCTGCTAATTTTTTGATGTAAATGTACCTCGTAGTTAACGCGTAACGGTTCCATTATTCGCATGGTGAATTGTGATGGTCCTAAGTTGCCCCACAGGCGAAGTGCATAAGAATGGGAGCATAAATGTTCAAAGTTAAATAATTAAAACCGAGACGGGACGAGAGAGGAAGAAAGGAAGTGCGTACACGCGATGTACTACAGTGTATACCAGTGAAAAAGAAAAAAAACAAGGAAACAAAGAAATACAAGGAGATTAATAAACGTTCGAAAATAGAGATGTACTGTCCGAGGAACAGTTTTTAAAAAAGAAGTAATCTCGACTTTTTCAAGATAATCCGATTTTTTTAATTATTACGTTAAATGTGGGTAAAGTCTTAGTCTAATCGCGTTATCGTAATTGTAATTCTTCCGGGAGCGGCGTGCGCGCCCCCGTGCGAGAAAGGAAGCGCCTATTAGCGATAATTTTAGACCCGAATCCGCTTTATTTACGCGAGTGATTCTATGCGTATATAGATAAGTAGAACAAAGAAAGGAAACGAACTTGTCGTCCATCGGACTTCATCATTACTCTGAATTTTGTTCGACAGAGATAATTTTACTTCGTAATTCGTTATTGTACGTATTATGTAGTATCTTTTATACGTCACATCCGGCGAAGAGCGACGCGCATGAAAATTGCCTTTGTGCTTACCGACCCGCGAGGGTTACGTAGTATTACGCGTCACAACGTCGCATTATATACAGAGTGTAATCAGAGCTGTTGCACGTTATGACGTCCGACAAATACGGGAACCGAGTGCGAGAGCATAAATGTTAAAAAAGCAAGATGAAGGCAGTCTTTATGCGCGCGCGCGCGCGCGTCGCGTTAGACCTAAAAAGAAAATTATAAAAGATATCGAATGTCTGAATTTTTGAGTGATACACGATACGGTCTGTTGTTTCGTTTAACGTACTTTCGTGAATATTACTTTTTTTGTCAAATATCCGAAGCGGAGAATATTGCAGAAGAATGTAGCGGTGCGACGCGAAACAAGACATGTATACAACACGTATTGCGACATACACACACACACACTCCACCGACTGCGTTAGAGATAGGATCGAGTACACTCAGTATTACCAATATTACCTGCAGCATGTTCTCGAACCTTTCATGAGTACTTCGAAGTATCTAAAAATGAAAGATATATGTATAATAGCGTTTTACATCTTTTTACTTGCAAACGTAACCGTAGCAATGTATGTATTATTACGAGTAAATTTGTATAGATTTTTACTTGCAATGATGCACGCATTGATACTATTATGTTTGTGAATAAAAGAACATAAAATATTATCGTTTCGAGTGTACTTCGTGAAGCTCCAATTACATCTCATATCGATATAGAGTTCGGCATTACTGCACCCACGTCAGATCGATCAATTTTCCATCGTAGCAAGTGTTTTACAAGTGTACGAAATGAGTCCACGATGTTCAAGAGTGCAGATTCGATTTCAATGAAGTAACATCCGGTCATATCGAATCGACACACGAATACAAGTTGAACTCAATCCTATTCCTAAACTACGTTCTCGAGCGCTTTTTGTCGTCCTTGTATCTTTCTTTTTTTTCACGTTGAGCGTGAAATCGAAATTTATATCGATCGGAGTTACGTCGCTCTCTATCGATGTATTGTAATTAGTGAAATTTATTTGTCGACCTGTTCGGATAGCATAAATTATCGATCGAATGATCATTGGACATTCTGTGTTATATCCTTGAACCTAGTTATTTTATTTTATATACATATATATATATATATATATATATATATATATATATATATATATATATACACATATATATACATATATATAGGAGAGTGTTTTTCTTTTCTTTCTTTATATTTCTTTATTTTATCGGAACGGAGGAAGGAGATTTGTGCGCGTGCATCCTTCGTCTCTCGTTCGAGGAGCGGAAATAAAACGTTACTGTCGGAAGTATAAGTTTAACATTGTCCGCGCCGAGCCGTTTTCCCTCATGAATATACGCGAAGGGAACATTTTTCTGCGATTTTCGACTCTTTCCACTGCACATCGAGGAAAAGAAGTTTGTTGCCGTGGCGAAACCGTCGTTGCCAGCATGACAGAAGCTCAACTAAAACTTATTACCTTGTAACTGCGGTTTCTTTATCTACTTACATATATACATACATAAATATGTGTATATATGTATATATATGTATATATATATATATATATATATATATATATATATATATATATATATATATATATATATATATATAT